TCTTATGGAGAGCTGTGAGCTGTTTTTTCTTACAGCATTTTCAAGTATCAAGAATAATTTACCTACATTGGATTTTTCCAAGTTATAACTGAACTTATGAGGCAGTACACCTCGCCTCTAGTGAGTGGCCCAGCACTTCGTATATTTGTCTGTATGTGGCCCTCAGTGGGAAAAGTTTGGACACCCCTGCTCTAGTCCCACCTTTGACAAACCAACACAGGGCACCAGACGGTACAAAAAGATTTTATTTCTCCTGGAGGTGGACCTGTCTGTGCACATAATGAAGGAGGAAGGTTAATGTCTGCAGCTCGCTCTCTGATGGACCTCGACACGCCTCCTTCTTCAGCAAGGGCACGCCTGAAACTCTGTCATTAGCCGGAGCACATGTTCCTCATCCTCATCTTCCTCCTCCTCTTCGGCTCGGTGCCCTGCAAGCAGACGAAACACAGAAGGGAAAAAAAACGTTAAATGACACGACAAAAATAACCCGAACACCTGACTCCCCCGCACGGCGTCTCCTTGACCTTGTCGCCTCATCTTCCTCCTACTCTCAGGAAAATATGCCGGTAGAAAAACAGCAACTTTTACAACAAGTAGGCCTTCACAGAGGAGGGAGAAGTACTCAGGTCTTGTACTTGAGTAAAAGTAGAAGTACTCAGGTATTGTACTTGAGTAAAAGTAGAAGTACTCAGGTCTTGTACTTGAGTAAAAGTAGAAGTACCAGAGTGTGAGGAATACTCTGTTACAGTAAAAGTCCTGCATTCAAAATTTTCCTCAAGTAAAAGTAGAAAAGTATTCTCATCAAAATATAGTGAAAGTAGCGACAGTAAAAGTAGTCATTGTGCAGATTGGTCCATTTCAGAATAATATATATGATATGTTTTATAATGATTGATCATGAAAGTGTTCTCAAAGCTGGTAAAGGTGCAGCTAGTTTGAATTACTTTGTATACTGCAGGGTAGCTTGTGGATTTACTCCAGGTGGAACTAAAGTTTGATTTAACACTTGATTATATTTCACATCATTCATCCACATCTGTGAAGTAACTAAAGGTATTAAATACATGTAGTGGAGTAAAAGTGCAAAGTAGCATAAATGGAAATACCCAAGTACAAGTACCTCAGTATTGTACCTTAATACAGTACTTGAGTAAATGTACTACCACTGCTTATTCAAAGTATTGTGAATATATAATATGCCATATGTGCCAAATATGGAAATGCTTTTAACCTGCATTCACTCTAATGGCCACCAGGGGGCGACTCCTCTCGTCTGATTGTATAGAAGTCTATGAGAAAATGACCCTGCTTCTCACTTGATGTATTACTTCAGTAAAACAATGTTGTAGTGAGTTAATGGTTTTAATCTGTAGTTTACGGTCTTCTTTAATACTTAATTATGTTCATTTGTTAAATTCAAGTCACAAAGACGATGAAGCAGGGTAATAGTGAAAGGCGGGGTTGACAGGTCACTACTGAAGTGTTTTGGTCCTTATATTCAAACCCTTTCACGGTGTGTTTTCATTCCAATTAAGTTAATTTTTTCACTCCTTATCACCTGACACCCCCGCGCAGCTTCTCCTTGACCTTCAGCACATCCTCCTACTCTCCTCTGTGAAATAACAACAGCTCCTGTTCCTCCTCTCATCCTGATTTCTTATTCTCCTCGTCTTCCTCTTGTTTTGCAGTCCCAGACGGCGGGTGCAGGACACAGCGACGTGCCTTTGAAGCCGGAGGAGTTCACCATCGGAGAGTCCACAGGTGAGACATTGATTGTGTTTTTCAAAGCGTTCAATCAACTCCCTCAGCTCGTCACGTCAATCTCCCCCTCCTCTTTTACTCCCTCCCCTTCATCACGTTGCCAGTTCCCCGCTGATTTGCCTCTAAAAGCGCACGTTCCAGCTGTGAGTGGGTTGCCATTTGTCCCCGTAGTATTGTTTGTTATTATTCAGTTTCTGCACAAATCCCCCTCTGTGGCACAAGTTTCCAGACTGTGATTAGCAGGATTTGACAAGTCACACAGCAACACACTGTAACGGCAGATTAGTCGTGACAGAACACAGGCTTATAGACTCAGTTCCCATCAGCAACCATCGCACACTTTATGATAATCCCCCTCCTCTGAGAGACCTCGGGGGAAACACTTACAGTGATAATGTCAAGATTTAAACTCCTTTACAGCAGTACAGTAGGTGAATTGCTTTTTTAACGATGCAATATACATCCAACGAACTGACTCGCAACCAAGCAGACCTTTTCAAAGCCTGGGAAGTTAAGACAATTACCCCTCTCCTCTATACTTTTAATGACCACACGTTGGCTATCATTGTCCGCTTTTGAACAGCGACACAAGCCGTTATTCTGTTGTTGTTCTAATACTGGCTATCAGGGGTAATCAATATGTAGGTTAAACAAGTTGTCAAATCAGATCATTGCAAGAAACACGCTGTTAAAGTATGCCGGTAGAAAACAGCAAATGTTACAACAAGTATAGGCCACTCATTCGAAGTGTTTTGAATAAATAATATGCCATATGTGCAAAAACCCCTCTCGTCTGATTGTATAAAAGTCTATGAGAAAATGACTCTGCTTCTCACTTGATTTATTACCTCAGTAAACATTTATACAATGGATTTATAGTCTCAAACTCTAGTCGTGAACCCTCTTTAATGCAACATGATGTCAATTTGCGTTATAAAGTCACATTTGAAGTAAAATGGACGATAAAGCAGGGTGTAGTTAACCTGTTAAGCCCCAAAGCCCCCCTCGGCGGGGCCTTTTTCAAATAAAATTCACGACACTGTGTCTCAGGGCATCTCAATATTTAAGAACCTATTAATGTGTTATACCAGATTAACGGGAAGAATCTCAGCTAACTGATGATACAAACCATTTTTACCAAAACAAAACACAAGTCTCATAAGAAGCATCTAAATGACCCCTGAGCGAAAAATGCTAATGCACTTTAGCACAGAACTCAAGATAAAAGATACCCTTATTACTTATCGTAGCTGCACATACAAGATATCCGATTAAAACTGAGGTTCCACAGATTATTTAGGTATAGTATCATCACTAAGTGATCCGAACTCGGGGGGGAGGCGGGGTTAACTTGTGATTGACAGGTCGCTACCAAAGTGTTTTTGTCTAACCCTTTCACGGTGTGTTTTCATCCCATTAAAACTAATTGTAAGGTTTTTTTGTCTAAATATCTTGTTCAGTGTCTTGATGTACTTTCCTTTACCCTCTCATCTTAAATTTGCTTCGAGAAACCAAGATGGTAGTGACTTAAGCGCCAAACTTAAGGCTTTAAAATCTAAACCTAGTCTTTATATAGTCAATGCTAAGTAGATTTCAGGTTTTGTAAGTCCGGTCTAGTGTAGGAGTTTGAACTGGGTTGATTTGAACAATTATAATAATTATTAACATAGAAAATATCCAATAAATGTGCCCCCTTAAAAGCCCCCACACTCCTTTGTTGTACCTTGTCGATCATGGTTAAACACACCTAATTGAAAGTCGACAGAAACAAAATAAAACTCATTAAAACCATCTTTGCTGCTAATCTCTCCAACCATCACCAGCTCTGCTTCGACAGCATGAGAGAGACTGAATAAGCATCAGATATAAAAGAAGAAGCAACCACCGTAACATTTCCTCTGTTTACTAACCCTGCTTTCCGCTGAGTTTGTACGTGACACAGCAGAAAACAACAGAAGCGCTTCTCTGAAAAACCTGCATGCACGCAGTCATTTTCGTGGGAAGGGTATTAGTCGACCTGAAATACTCTGCGAAATCCAATTACATGCTTTCCTTTGACCCTCTGCCTCTTATTCAACAATAAACAAAGAAACACTATTTTCCTCCACTACATATTCTACACCATGAGCAGGTTCCTTTTTCCAGCCTTAGTGAACAGAACCATTGCATTTTGGTTTGATATGTCCAATATGAAACCACAAGTGTCACCTATTGCAGCAGGAGAAATGAAATTGCAGTTTTAACGCTTATTATTTCCAGGTGTTTTCAAATGTGCTGTATAAATAAAGTTGGATTGGATAGTGTTATAATTGCAGCAGCTGTTACTCTCCCTCCCTGTAGAAGGCGCACAATTTAAATCTGCAGATTTAAAGGGGCCCTATTAAGCTTTTGGGGTTTTTCCCTTTACTGTAACGTGTTGTATAGGTTTTTGTCAAATGTTCTAAAATCCCAAAGTTCGGGAACATAGTAACATCACTATGTAACACTCAAGCTTCTATTGGCGAACGGTCCAACACATTGTACGTGATAGGCTAAGGGGCGGGACATCTCTAAGCGGTTGATCAATCACAACAGAGCCGGCCAGCTAACCAATCAGAGCACACTGGGCTCTGGTTTCAGACAGGGGGTGAGAAGAGGTGCTGCAGCACAGGCAGTATGAGAACAATAAAGAGCTTTTTGAACATTAAAGCTTGGAGACATGTAGAGACACTACACACTGATATACACCTGAACATCAGCAGGAGAGGACTCTTTAAAGTAGAGACACTACATACTGATATACACCTGAACATCAGCAGGAGANCGTGTGCCTGGCAGTCTCAGAGACACTACACACTGATATACACCTGAACATCAGCAGGAGAGGACTCTTTAAAGTAGAGACACTACATACTGATATACACCTGAACATCAGCAGGAGAGGACTCTTTAAAGTAGAGACACTACATACTGATATACACCTGAACATCAGCAGGAGAGGACTCTTTAAAGTAGAGACACTACATACTGATATACTATACACCTGAACATCAGCAGGAGAGGACTCTTTAAAGTAGAGACACTACATACTGATATACACCTGAACATCAGCAGGAGAGGGCCCCTTTAATTAAATGATCTGTTACTTTACTGCCGTTAAACTGGTCCTGCAGTTTTTTAAATGCTGCCTCTGCAGTCACATGACACTCGGCTGCTTTGCATCAACGACGCTGTGTTTTGGTTTTAATATCGTCCGTGACTTTGATGTTCTCTCCTCTCTCCGACCCCCAGTGACCCACACAGATGGAAAGTTCAGCGCACAACTGTCCAAGCTCACCGCCATCGGACAGACGCGACACGACGAGCTGTGATTGGTCAGAAAGTCAGACGTACAGCAACTTCGGTCGAGTGCTGAGCACTGAGGAAAAGGATTTAACAGCAGCTGGATCAAAAAAACGAACTGAGAGCTCAAGAATCAGGAGAATGTCATTAATATTTTATCTAACAAAGATATTTATGATGCAGTTGATTAAAAAGTCTTGATTGTATAATGGAAATCTTTGATAGATTGAAACGTTGCGCAGTTATTGCCCAAAGAAATGCTGATATTCTGTCGGTTTTTAAGCTCCGAGTGCGTGTTTCAGCTTAATGAAGGATGAATTTATGAATGGGATAAAACTGATATTGCTTTTGCAGTACTTTGTGTTTGAGTACATGAATTCCCTTGTATGCTTTCTACAATGTATTTGAAAATACTGTTGAGTATCCACATTTTGTTTTACTGCTCACTGTCCCAGTTAAAACTCTCTTAAAGATTAAAGAGCTTCCATAGTTTGGTTTCTGACGATATAAGATTTACACGCAGCACATCTGCTTGATCCTGGGGGAGGGCTGTGAATGTATGGAGGACTTTGTGCCTGGCGGGGGGTTGTTGAGTATAGATAACATATTTAGAGTAGCGAGGGGATTTATCCATCTCCTGTAATCCTGAGAGGAAAGTGAATAATCTGCAGTAGCGTCATCACACACACACACACACACACACACACACAAAATTACATTTCCTCTGATCTGCGCTCTGTTTCTATTCATCTGCTCTACATCGCTGCAAGCCAACATTTTACCCCCATAAATTACCAATTTGTTCGACTTTGAATAATTGTTTTGTTATTTTTGTGGTTTTCGGCCTGAAGGGATACTTGTTGAATAATGATATTAAGAGAAATGTGTGCAGAATACACTGAGGATTAGTGCTTTTTTTGATAACTCTCAAACAGTCTAAATGTGAAATCATTGATCTGAGAATATAATAAAAGTACAGATGCTCCCTCTTGGTTAATACGTTTTCACATTGGTCTTTTTTTAAAAACTTTTTTTTTGTGGATTTGTCTTTTTTTCGTGCAAAATTACTCAATTTCTAGAAACGTGTGAGCAATTCTCTGGTTAACACAATATGTAAAATGTTTTTTGCACTATTCTTTTATGGAAATGTTTTTAAAACAACTCATAAATGTGTCCTTTTGTTATTCTATTTTCATGCTGGAGACCTATTTCGGAGAAAAGTAAAGTATGATCACATTGCCGGTGAACACACGATTTAAAACCTGGCTTTTGCACGGAAACTCAGTTTTACGAATCTGTCAATTAAATCAAATAAAACGGATTCATTAATAATATCATATACGTGTTAAAATATGGATTGTGTTTTTAGTTATAAGTATAAATCATTTCTCTCTATTTTACTTTTATTTACATAATTTTACCAGAATATACAACCAATTCCTTATTTTAAAGACTTTTTCAACATTTCTGCGCATTTCAAGTCTTCAAAACGAAGATATTGAGGTTTAACACACGAAATATCTAATATATGGCGTGTAAAGACTTGAGGATTAGAGTATATATGAAGATGAGACGCCATCACATGTTTCTGATCCCCTTGTGATCCGTTCCTCCAGCAGAGGTACACATGTGTGGGCATTGTGCTGCAGCTCTCAGAAGTACAAGCTCCTTTATCTTCCTCACATTGATCCAATCCTGTTCGATCCTCACAATGTGTCCACACGATGAGTTCTGGGGATTGATTTTGGATTTTAAAGGATTGTGCTGATGTGATTCTGTGCAGGGATTTCTCTCTGAGGTTACATACCTTTTAGTTGGAGTTTGGATCCTCTCGTCTGTCTCGAGCCGGGGACGTTTTGTTTCTCCTTTTGAGGCTCCCAGAAGCTGCAAAAAAAGTGTTGGTTATTTTTTCAGGAGGGTGTTTGTGGGACATGTTTAAAATAAAATACAGTTCACACATTCATGCTAATGAAGAATAATGACCTGATGTGTTTTTAATAGCTTTTGGACCAACATTTAGATGAATTGATAGTTGTTTTCGGTCATATTTGTAATCTGAAAAGTCTTAATTCAATGTTTTCTTTTGTGTGTTATTTTTATTTTATTTTTTGTGTGTTATTTTTTGTGTGTTATTTTTATTTTATTTTTTTATTTTAAGACCTGACATTGTTACTGGGGACACACAACTAACTAAAAACACAATACATGTATTATTTAAGAATAATAATAATAATTTAAATAACAAAAGACAGTAAAACATTATAATAAATAAAACAAAAATGTAGAAAATATAATTAAAAAAATACTGTGAAAAATTATAAAATAAAACCATCAAAACATTTAAGAGCAAAAATAGCCTGAATTCATAAGATGCCGTAGATGCCACATTAATTGTCACATAATTGGAAAAATCTGTGTTTTTTTACCATCTTCTAATCTTTCCTCAAAGATGTCAACTTCACATATTTCATTTACAACATCCAGCCAATTGGATTCTTTCTTTTAACCAATTTATTTGTATCTTTCACTCTTTTTCTGTATTTCCTGATGGTTCTGATTTATGACGAAACCTGAGGGATGTTTGAACAAAGACGAGTTGTCACTGTTCTGGAGATAATTCAATGTTTTTGTCTCGTTCTGTCAGTCATGATCTGATTGAACCTCCCACGGCCTCGTTAAAGGGTACACATGAAAAGAGAGAAGCAATTTGAGTGCCAGCAGAGCGACATTAAATATTCTGTCGCAGCCGGGACGCCGTGAACACTGAGGGAAAGATTTTGTGTTTTATGCCCCCGTCACATCTGTCTAAAATAACTGTAATTTTAGCACCAGCACTAATATATTCCCAATTCAAACTCTGGTTTTCAGCATACAAATGAGACTTCAAATGACACTTTATATATTAAAATAAGCCTTAAATATGTATTCTGCTAGCGTACTCAATTAACGTACATTGTCCTCGGATAAATGGTTTCAACCATGAGATAGAGAGCTTCCATTGTTTCTTCTTAATTTCTGGGGGGAGAGGCTTTGCTCTAAATCCAGAAGCACATATGGGAATATATAGAGAGATGATTTTTGTGGGATTATGGAGATATAGAGTCATCAGGGATGTATGCCTTTCATGTTAAACCAAGAGAATATCAGTGGTCTTGATTGTAGTCCAATTTGTACCAGTTAGTCTGAGTTCTATGATACAAGAAGGACATGTTTTATACTGTAAACATGAAATTTACCAGTGCTTAAATGTGAAATCTTTAATAGGGCATTAGGACTGTTTTAGGTTAGAAGAATATGCAAAGAATTGTATAGGGAATATTCAGAAATGTCAGAGATGTTACTAGATTTACAACAAAAACTCACATTTACAGGAAAAAAAGCCACTAGATTTCTTGGTTTTTTCTAAAATCATATAATCTCCGAAGGTACTCTAGTCTATTCTTGTTTATATTTGATATTTTTATAGTAAATGTAATCTGAGAGTATATCATTTTTTTTCTATTGGTCTAATCTTAGAAATGAGATTTTCTTGAGTTTTTTAGCAGAATAACACAACCCTTCCCTTGGCCCTAGCTGAAATGTATTTGTTTTACAGAAAATAGCCATTATTCAGTGATCCTCAAACCACAACATATTTTGTTTGTCATCCAGGAATCTTCCCCAGTCTCCAAAGTGTACTTACAACATCTTATAAAAAGTAATTTGTGGCCCCATAGATAGAGTATGCTGACACTCTGTTCTCAGGGTGGTTGTTCCAGTCAGTAATAAGTCTCTGAAGCATGATATCTCTTCCTTTACTGCCAGTTGGCTGTGGCTCTATGCTGTCATCTAAACCCTAAACACATATCACCACTGTTTACCATCTGTTACGTACAAATGTTTACTCTAAAACTCGCCACGATAGAACGATCATCAGGAAAATATATTCACTCGATGCTGCCAAGAACTGGTTTACATTACGACGGCGTGCATTAAAAACAAAACATTTTTAGACCTGTAAGAACAGCAGGTCTGGGGATAAATCGGCCAACAAACTGCTAATCCAGACAGAAATATCCCTACAAACATTGCAATGAGATTTAATACAGATATGCATGGTCCCCAGAGGATGAGTCCTACTGAATTTGGTGTCCACCTGATTTAAACTAAGCATGCAACTATTTGATGGATTGCTATACATTTCTTTGCAGAAATACACTTTTTCCCCCTTGGATGCACTGTAACTAAAATGTTTCCCCAACTAATTTATCTTATGATCCCAAAAAGCAATGTTTGCAGCACCTCATTATATATAAGTGGGCCCTACATCTACAATCTTTCCTCTTATTAGAGACGTGAGGAAGTCATTTGGGATGATAACAATAAAGCTAAAATGGAGTCTGAAAGTTAGCTGGATACACTTTTGCTTAACACCTGTTTTCCTTTTCTGTTAATACTTTCATATTTTAATCCTTGGGGTAGCATGACTCTCAGTTTTGTGCACGGCCCATGTACCATTCTCAGGTAAGAAATTAAGTTTGTTCACGACGTAATTTTATGAAAACATCAGCCTGAGCTGCATTTTGTGTTGATTGCTAGTTAGCTATTGATAGCATGCTAACACAACACGCTAAGCTAAGATAGCGAAACACGGCTAGCATTAGCTATGTATTTTAGATATAGAAATACGTAACGGTTTCGAAATTAAATGATCTAAAAGTGCACTAGACATATGATATAAATGTTGTTCAGTTGTGGATTTAAATTATTAATACATGAGATGTGATTTAAACATAGTTAGAATGCTTATACTGATGTTAGCTTTTAGCCCATAGCCTCACTGAGCTGCTAGCATAGCCCATAGCTGTGTAGACCAAGACCTAAAGTGATTTCATCCAACAAGCCCCATTTTCAGCATAAATACTAATATCAATATTATCAGTGCGATAAATTGTTGAACAATATGCAATTGTTACTTCAAATTCTTATGTTTATAGCCTATAGGCCTACATATTTGTACTTTATCTTATTTTATTTACTCTTAAATGGACCAAAACCCAATTTTCCACGAGGATAAGAAAACATTTCTGATTCTGATAACACGGTTGTATGTATCTTAATACATGTTTTCCATGAATATATATTTGTTTATAGTGTAGTAGTAGCCTACTATGTCTATGTGCTTCTAACTTCTCTCTCTTTATAAGTATTATTTTATTTACGATAATGAAATCCATCACCACCAGGGGGAAGTGATTTCTGATTATAATTCTGAAACATGTTTCGATTTGTTTTTAAAAATTCAAACCTGTTTTATCAAAAAAATAAGAAGAATTAGAGATACAATCGATCAGTAAGAACAAACAGGCTTAGTGTCATTCAGGTTATTTCATTCAGATGGTATTGAGCAAGGGATTAACATTTTGTTGTAGCTACTTTTTTCTCTTTTAGTTGTCTGTTGACAAAAACAGAAAATATAGAATAACACCAGTTGTGTATTCTTTAAAAGGAATACCAAAATAAGAGTAAGGGGTAAAGCACTAGACGACCTAAATTAATAAGCCATAGATTTTGTTCATATTTATGTTATAATCAATCCTGCAGATAATCTTGGTTGTGGTTTCATCTCCCCTTTCACACACACACACCTGCTCCCCATTTCTCTCCCTTTGCACCTCTTGACACTTGCAGGGTAACAGATGGAGATCGTGGCCGGGGTCGGTCAAACCAGAGGCAGCAGAGGAGATTTCTGTAACACCGGGGGTGAAGGGTACAACGAATAACCAGCTGCCCCTGTCTCATCCCGCCATGCTCACTTCCCCTCATCACGAGACCTTTTCTGTCTCCAGATATATATCACAGTTCCCCAGCGGGAGCTCTTCACACAGCAGCCAAAGTACCACGAGTTCTCGTTACACAATCGCAACTCCTGACAGCAATTATCCCACCCAGACAATGCTGATACATGTGAGTGGATGTGTCTGGCTGAAGTGCACTAAAAGTAATCATCTCTTACTTTTTCCTTGCAGTAATTATCATTCACTTTCATATTTCTTTCTAATTAGGCCGTCTCCTTTTGCCCTTTAACTGTGGGAGAGCATCTGTATGGAGCCAAAGCTGAAACCCAGACAGATGTTATGATGCTGGTACATTTACTGCATCAAGTATGTAAGTACTTCTTTGACAGACTTGCACTTTACTTGAGGGTTTCCAGTTTATACCACTTTATACTTCTCCTCCACTATGTTTCGGACACAATTATTGTACTTTTAATTCCCCTAAATTGATTGAACAATCTTTGAAAACACAAAATATGGTTAAATATATGATGCGAAAGAGCCATTTTGCATACTATTCCTATTTTTTCCATACAAAACACATGATATGCTTATATGAAAAGATGCAGTGCTGTACTTATCGTCCCATATTTTTAGAAAGCTTCTAAATATATATATAGCTATAATATATAGTTTCAATTTGACAATCTAAAGCATTACAATTCTTACATTTAAAGAATCAAACTCCTTCTTCCATCTGCCCTGTGTATGTTTTGGCTTAATTTACACGTTTAAAATGTAAACTCTGGTTCTATGACTACTAATCTTCCCAAAGTGGCTGCTAATTGACCTACTAAAACATTAATGCTCTTAAATCTTGAGATTAAAAAAACATTCTGCATACTGAGTATACTTTTGAAACTGATAGTTCATTTAGCTAATTATTCTCCAGTACTTCCGAATCAGAATCAGAATACTTCCACTTAAGTACACTTTTGAACTCGGGTATTTTAAGACCAAAGCGTTTCATCTTTTCTAAAGTAAAGTACCAAAGAAGTACTTTTACTCAGATACAATGTAGTACACCTTCCACCTCTGTGTGATTCCCTGGTATGTGTTTCGGTTAATAAACTCTAGAGATTTGTGTAAAAGCGTAGACAGGAGAAAAGGACGTCTGGTCCGACTCACCCTGAGTTGCGTCTGCGTCCTGTCACCTTGGAGAAAACGTGGCGAGCCTTGAATCACCTCCACTGTCACAGCTTTTCTTTGCCGATCAGCCTCCCTCCCTCTCTCCCGTTGTCTCACACGGTGGTCGAGAGCCTTTTCTCAGGGTACGGGGGAGCTGTGCGGGGCTCCGGCACTTTTTTCTGCGCGGGTTCGGAGGGTCTGAGGTGGGGGTACGGAGGAGGTTTGCGACCCCTGCGACCTTTGGGAGGTTTAGCCTGTGTTGCGGGAGCAGATGGAGGTTGAGTTGCAGATTTTGAGTGCAGACCGGCAGACGGATGGTCACTTTGTGGGGTCCCAAGTTTGTCCTTTTCAACGACAGATGGGCTCAGAGTGGGGGGTGGGTTCGGAGAAACAGGAGAAGGATTTGGGGAGTGAGATCCAGGGCTGTTCTGGTGATGGAGGTTAACTGTAAGAGGGGAGAGTCCTGGAGTCGGAGGCCGAACAGGGAGGCTTCTTTGCGGGGACAAATGGACGTTTTGAGGGGGATTATTGTTCTGTAGCGGCCCACCTTGTCTGGGAGAAAAACCCAAACTACAGGTAAACCTTAGAGTTCGACCCCTGTCTGAAAAGGCAGAGTTCACCGGGCACAGCTGCATGTTAGGGGGAGATTTACTCCTGATGTGAGGGTGAGGGTCTCCCCTGCAGGAGGGCGGGTCTCCGGGATCTGGAGCTCTGTGATTGGTGCTGATTGCTGTCACTTCGCTGGAGACTGAGCCTGAGTTTGAGCTGCTGTCGTCTCCTTCCTCCTCCTCCTCCTCTGCATTCAGGTCAATGGAGGAGGTTAGATGGTCAATCTGCTGCACCACCTGTGATGGATTAAAATAAAGAGCATGGTGAAGAGGAGAAGCAATCTAAACTTATCAATAGATCACACATCATAGTAGCACGGTATCTTTGGTGGAAATATATTTCACATAACTGTATTAGGTTAGCTGAAACCAATAACAATAACTTGAACCTAATCAAACTTAGTATTATTGCCGGCAGTGGCTCAGTCAGTAGGGGCTTGGACTGTGAGCCGTAGGGTCGCCGGTTCAAGTCCCCGAACAGACCTAAATATGGAGTGTGGACTGCTACTTGGAGAGGCCCCAGTTCACCTCCTGCTCTGCCGTGGTGCCCTTGAGCAAGGCACCGGACACCCCCCTTCCCCCCCCACTCCCATTGCTCCCCAGGCGCTGTACAATAGTCTGCCCACTGCTCCTAGTACTAGACTCCTGGTACTAGGATGGGTTAAAAGCAGAGAACACATTTCACTGTGTGTGCTGTGTGACCATTACAGAGGGGCTTCATCCCTATAGTTAACCTAATACAGTTATGTGAAATCTGTTGACATCATACATTTAATTTAAGGCCACGTTTCATATTTTTCAGTGAAAAGGCCTCAGCAGAACATCAGACTAAGCTTCTTTTTTGATTAATATTTGTTTAGTTTCCTCTGAAATGCTTGAAAGACTAATTTCTTCATCCCCCTCTGCATTCAGGTCAATGGAGGAGGTTAGATTGTCAATCTGCTGCACCACCTGTGATGGATTAATATAAAGAGCATGGTGATCAGAAACAGAGGAGAGGCAGTCTAAACTTATGAATAGGTCATATATATTCGTAGCACGATATTCTGTGTGGAAATATCCTATCGATTGATGTAAAGTAAGACTCTATTGAGTTAGATAGAAACTTCAACTCTGGATATCTTGACTTCTCCTGCTTCTATGTCGTCACCCACCTTTACAAGTGCCAGATACTTAATCACTGGGCTACCCTTAATTCATTTTTGATTAATCTACTGATTTTTTTTTTGCTAGATTAAGTGCTTAATCAACACAGTCTGAAATCTTTCACTTGATTTTTGTTCTTACTTTCATTCCAAATCCAGAAAATATTCAAATTATAATCACGTAAAAATGCTAAATAATGCTTTTATAAATTGATTAATCATCACTTGACTGTCTGGTGAATAATCACTTAACATTTCAAGTGTGTTTTAACATTGTTGTGCATTTTTCGGGAGAGTAGTGTGAGATAACACACAATGAAGGAAAAGGCGAGGAGAGGTCCAACACGTCACGAACGTCCCCTGAGACATTTTAAAGCTTCTCGTCCAATTCAAGCCTCCTCCTAAAGATCTCATCTCAGTCCTGTAGCCTCCATGCAATATTACAAGTTTTCTTTCTGCATTTGCGTCTCTTCATCTTTAATTTGGAGCATGTCAACCTCTCTCCAGGTGTACAGCTCTGCTCTGTAAGTATGTCACATGAGCTGCAAAAAGTGTTTACCTCGGCCCAGAAACCAGGATATTACTGCGATGGGAAATGTGTTTGCTAAATTTAGATGAGTTTATTTTCTGAGAACACACTATGTAACATATAAGACACAGGGAGCCACTTTTAGGTGCATTGAATTAATGAGAGCATGCACATAAACCACATTATTAATATGAATACACTACTGTATGGATTGTCTTATACATATTTTAACATATTTGTTGTTACTATTGTTTTATTTTACTCAACAACTAAACCCAATCTCCCTTTGGGGTGAATAAGTTATTTGTACAATGTGGCTTTATTAATGTACTTAAGTGTTAGCATCAAAATAAACATAAAGAACCAAAAGTGACACACACACACACACACACACACACACACACACACACACACACACACACACACACACACACACACACACACACACACACACACACACACACACACACACCGTGTCCATTGATGGCGGCAGGAGAGATTGTAGGGAATTACAGCGACCCATCTCTCCACCTGCTCTTTCTGCACAGATAAATCCTCGGCCTCTGCTGGATCAGATGAATTATTATTTTGTTCTCTGTGTTCGACAACATCCTCGCTGATGTCAAAAGATGACCTGGTTTATCTTCCTTTTTCTTTTTGTATTTGAAGCTTTTCGGGCGAGGCATTTCATTTTACTTTGAAGTGCAGCGAGGTTATGCACACCCAGTGACTGTGGGCAGGTGCTGCCTGTTAATGTCGAGAATTCCGACGAGATAAAAGAAAAGCAGAGGACCTTGTTTTTTTAATCTGCAGCTCCCGAGAGTGTATATTATAATGTTTTCTGACCCCTCAGGTCTTCAAACATAGTGCCGACGAACGCTGAGACGTTTTTGTAGATATAACTCGTGTACGTTTAATAAAACTCCTGCATTTTCTCTGTTGTTGTTTCGCTTTGAGTCAAAGTGCAGGTTTACTTCTGTCAACACTGAAAAATATAAGAAATGTTGACTTTAATAAATGGGTTATGTAGAGACATTTCACATAACTGTATTAGGTTAGTTGAAACCAATAATATGAAGTTGAACCTAATCAAAGTTAGTATTATTGCTTTTAACTAACCTAATACAGTAATGTGAAATCTGTTATACATTTAATTAAAGTCAGCGGTTCATATTTCTCAGTAAGTAAGTAAAACTTTATTTATATAGCACCCTTCACAACACGAATGTACAAAGTGCTTTACAGTATACAGTACACAATACACAATTCAAAGTACAGCTATAACATTTAGAAAAAAGCATAAAACACAGCAGGTACAACAACAATGAAAACCAGCTACTAACTCACCTCCTCCGACGCCCCAAGAGCCTGTCGGAAAAGGTGAGTCTTTAACTGCCCCTTAAAAATCTCTATTGAGACACAGGCTCTTAGTGTCTGGGGGAGTTTATTCCAAAGCCTTGGAGCCTCCGCCTCAAAGGCACGGTCCCCCTTAGTCTTTAGCCTGGTTCGGGGGAACCCTTAGGAGGCCTTGCTCAGAGGACCTCAGGGCCCGGGTTGTGCTGTGAGGGTGGATTGATTGATTGATTGATTGATTGAAAAGTTTATTAACAGCTTGTATATTGGGTACAGTACAGTACAGCTCAAAACATACAATTGTTAAGGGGATGCAGACCAGAGAAAGACTTTCCTCTTGTTTACATCAGGGTCCCCCATTTCCAATTCATCATATCATTTAAGACATACAAGACATATTTGACATACAGATGGCTTATTTACAATTTACATTTTAGATTTCGTTCTAATACATCCTAACCGGACATTTAAGACATACCAAGTATACAGATATCCAGTTAGTAACAGAGTCTAAAATGGAGTATATACATAGATGGGGGGGGGAAGCTGTCCATTGTACGACAGGTTGAGATTTGTACCATTACCGGAGCCAGTTTTGCAAAGCTCTCCCCCGAAGGTGCTCTTTGAGAGAGCTTTTGAAGGTCAGTACAGTTTGACTTTCCTTTCCAGAGGGAAGAGCGTTCCACCTTGATGTGGCAGAATCGAGAAACGTGTATTCCTCCTTTCTGTGATCATTCATCCAAGAAGCTTTGCACTGCACTCTCATGCAGGTATTAACTATTGCTCTGCTTTTTTCTTTATATTTACATTTCATTTTAAAACATGTTGATTAAGCATTCTTGAAAGGAAAAAATAAAGATGTAAATGAATTTGAAACTGCTTATAATAATAAAAGTGAGAACTGTTGCATATTCGTCACATGGTGTGTCCGATATATTCAGAAAGCATGATTGATCCCAAAGGAAATTGAGTTCTGTGATAGTTACTACGGTAAATAAAATAAAAATTAGATAGATTAAAATATATTGTACAGTACCAGTCAAAGGTTTGGGCACACCTTCTCATTCCAAGGTTTTTATTTAAATGTTTTCTACATTTATACTGAGCAACACATCCTCACTCCCAGGTCGGCCTATGTTGACGTTATGTCAAGTCCCCCGTGTCGGCTTTTTCCAACGCAAGGGGGGGGGGGGGGCGGCGTGTGATTTTTCGCAGAACGCAAGAGGGGCGGCGGCGTGTCGCTTTTTCCATATACCAATTGGATCAAATATAAAAGTACAGCGAATTGAGTCGCTCAGAAATGAGCTTAGTCTCCATCTGCCCTCCTCCTCCTCGCCTCCTCCTCCTCCTCCTCCGAATATATTAAGCATGCTTTGACATAAAATACCACTAGAAAATATCCATCTGTGGACAGCGCCGTGGCGCTGTAAAAAGGCCCGACGCAATCATCTGAAGCGCGGCTAAAACTAACTGGATGCGCCCTACCTGCCTGTCAGCCTTCAGCATCTGTCGCACAAACTGATCTCTGCCTCATGGTGGCATGCGTGTGGGTTCGTGTGTGTTGGAGGAGGGGCTCTGTGAGGAAGTCTGAAGGAAGAGGCCTATTTTTTCCCGGTTGTGTAATTCAAACCTCTAAGGCGCACTCGAGATGGTTTCTTAAGCTACCCTAGGCCTACCTTTAACTCTTTTTTAGGGGTGCAGCTATATGTTTTTTATTTAATTTCAAAGTCAGCCCATTTTAATATAATTTTTTTTCTTCAAATGTTCAGAGACTGCCTCAACGTGCTGGTGTTTATTTATTTAAAGGTAGGCCTGTGTATTATTTGTAATTGCTCCTTATAGGAGTTCTTTGTTTCTAAGAGGTTACACCGTGTTTTATAATATAATAAATCGAATAATCCACAAAAAAAGCTGTTAGTTTGTGTCTGATAGAACCAATAATACCAACTTTATTAGGCTATCATGGCTATGAAATATGTGTTTGCGCTCCAGACAAACACAATGTTTTGGAAAAAGGAGCAAATTGGCCTCTTTTGGTCAAAAAAGGTTGCTAGACGCCCCTGCTCCTGGGCTCTGGAGGAAGAGAGAAGATTGTAATATGGTTTCTGATTAAAGCTGTAGGAAGAGTATCCGTGCTGCAGGAGGTGGATGGAACAACGCACCCAGGACCAAGCGCTAGCTCGCGGCACTTTTTACTGTGGAGCTG